TTAAAAATAGAAAATGGTTATACATAGAATACAGTGCAATCAGTTCAGACATCGCACAGTGCTCATTCAGTAAATTCACAGCTAAACAGATGAGTTTTGAGTCTAGATTTAAATGTGACTAATGTTTTAGCACATCTGATCTCTTCTGGAAGCTGGTACCAACTGCGGGTGGCAAAATAGCTAAAAGCGGATTCCCCTTGTTTTGTGTGAACCCTTGGTATTTCTAACTGACTCGATTCTAATGATCTGAGTGGTCTGTTAGATTTATATTCAGTGAGCATATCTGCAATGTATTTAGGTCCTAGGCCATTGAGTGATTTACAAACGAGTAAAAGTACTTTAAAATCAATCCTAAATATAACTGGTAGCCAGTGTAAGGACCTGAGGACTGGTGTGATATGCTCAGATTTTCTGGTTCTAGTCAGAATCCTGGCAGCAGCGTTCTGGATGAGCTGCAGCCGTCTAATTGTCTTCTTGGGAAGGCCGGTGAGAAGACCATTACAATAGTCTACCCTGCTGGTGATAAAAACATGAACAAGTTTCTCCAAGCCTTGCCTGGAAACAAAACATCTAATTCTTGCAATGTTTTTGAGATGACAGTATACCGATTTAGTTACTGCTTTGACATGACTACTGAAACTAAGGTCTGTCTCCAGAATCACACCAAGATTCCTGACTTGATTTCAAGTCAAGGTATGCATTCACCTTGAGAACTTCATCTTTGTTTCCAAATACAATGACTTCAGTTTTTCCTTGTTTAACTGAAGAAAATTTTGGCACATCCAACTGTTAATTTCATCAATGCATTGGCAGAGGGAGTCAATGGGGCTGTGGTCATTTGGAGATAAGGCTAGGTAAATCTGGGTATCATCAGCATAGCTGTGATAGGCAATTTGGTTCTTTCTCATTATTTGACTTAGTGGGAGCATATACAGGCTAAACAAGAGCGGTGCAAGAATTGAGCCTTGTGGGACTCCGCATGTCATGGACGTCCACTTAGACTTATGCTCTCCTATACTCACATAATAACCTCTCCCTTCTAAGTATGACCTGAACCATTTGAGTACCATCCCAGAAAGCCCAACCCAGTTTTCCAGTCTCTAGAAGTATGTTATAATCGACAGTGTCAAACGCAGCACTGAGATCTAGTAGTACCAGCACTGATATTTTGCCAGAATCAGAATGTAAGCAAATTTCATTTATCTTAATGAGCGCTGTCTCTGTGCTGTGATGCAGTCGGAAACCAGATTGAAAATTGTCCAGGTATCCATTTGAGTTTAAGTATCAGATGATTAAAAACTACCTTTTCAATAATCTTGCCTATAAAAGGAAGATTTGATATTGGTCTATAATTGCTTAAAATGGTGTTATCAAGATTGCTCTTTTTCAGAAGGGGCTTAACAACTGCAGTTTTCAGGGAGTTTGGAAACATCCCAGAAAGAAGTGAGGCGTTCACCACTTCTAAGAGATATGCTTCCAAACAGTTAAGCACCCTTTTGAAAAAAAGATGTGGGAAGTGTGTCAAGACAGCAGGTTGACGCATTTTGATTTTAGGTGCTGCACTATTTCTTACAAAATTTTGTTATAAATTGCTTCAAAAATAGACATAGTATCTTCTTTTTGATATTGCGGTCGAATTTGTCTGACCTCTGCATAACTTGGGGATGTGCTAATCGCCTTCCTGATATTAATAATCTTCTCAGAAAAGAAAGAAGCAAACTCATTGCATTTGCTGTCGGAGAGCATTTCACTGGCAATCTGACTTGGGGGGTTTGTCAGTCTCTCAACAGTAGCAAAAAGAGTGCGAGTGTTGTTTAAGTTACTGTTTATAAGGTTTGAGAAGAAGGTCTGTCTAGCTGTGGCTAGTTCCACATTGAAAGCACCAAGGCTGTCTTTATAGAGGCTATAGGGAATTTCAAGTTTCGTCTTCGGCCACATTCGCTCAGCTTTTCTGCATTGTCTTTTCATACTCTGTACTGCTGTTGATTTTCTCCAAGCTGATTTTTGTCTGCCAGTCTTCTTGCTGACTTTCACAGGAGCAATGTCATCAATAAAATTCAGAAGTAGATATTGTCCTTAAGCACTCTTGCACCAAGTTTGGGTGGAGGCCATCTGGTTTAAACAGTTGTCTATGGTCCCAGAAAAGATTGAAGTTGTAGATGAAATTCACTCCTTTTATATTGCAAGATCGTTGTAGCCATGTGTTCAGCCCAAGCAACCGTGGAAACATATTAGCTCCCCTTGCTGGGAGTGGTCCACTGATGAATGACTGAACTTGAATGAAGAGTTCACTGAAGTCCTTCTTAAGGAGTTCTGACTGCTCTTTCCGAATATCATTCTTCCCCACATAGGTGATGATTCGATTTGCAGTCTTCTGCTTCATCAGAATGTTCCAGAGTTCCCTGTTCACATCAGAGATGGTTGCTTGATGAAAGCAGCATGTTGTTGTAGTCCTGCTACTGATGTTTCTGATAATGGAGTCGCCCACTATCGGAGTCCTGGGCTCGGCTGCGCTCTGAGCTGAATGCCGCTGTCTGCTCGACCTCGAGCACCTGTTAGTAGCGATGTTAGCTGCTGGCTGATCCGATCCATGTTTAATCACATTTGGGGATTCCTCACCCACATTCATTAGTTTCAACTCTGTTCTCAAGATGTATAGGGGGTGGTAGAATACCAGTATTCACAAGCCTTGTCATACATTTAAGGGAATGTAGGGGGAGGATGCCATTTTTGTTTGTACTTCTCTTTTTCTCCTGGTTATGGGCAGACTGGAAGAGAGGGAAGTTTTATGTACCTAGAAAAAGATAATCCAAAAATAAAGTAATTTATAAATATTCTTGGGGTAGTTATTTTGGTTTTGTTTGTTATTTTGGCCTAGCTCTCCCCTGGGGCCCGTTCTTTGTACGTCGCTAACTCAGTTAGCTGGATTTGATCATTGATGATTTGGCATGATCTTGGATTGTTTGGTTCTTCGAAGCTCATACTAGACGTACTGTCATAGCAACAGGTCCGTAAGCTTAAACCTGCTCGGGAGCAGCTTATTTCATGTAAACAGGATTAGATTGCCTCTTTAAGTGGAACTGATATTTAAAATCTATCCCAGCCACTGCTACTCAATTACAAGAGTTACCTACTAATCCGGGGACAATAATTATAAATGATCATTTAAAAATTAATTTGAAAATATTATAATGTTGTGTAATCTATAATACTATAGACAGCCAGTTTTACTAATTGAAAAATTTATTTGTGATAAAATAACTTTATAACTGTATTAGAGTCTTACAGACATAGTTCATCTGAGTCGTGCATTAATTTGAGTGCTGACATATTATGGGAGTGGCTTGATGGAGCGCAGGAGACGCAGATAACTTGATCTTGACCCTTAAGAAACTAATTAACGCTGTCACAAATCTGCTTCAAAGATAAAATTACATGAATTGCTAACTACAACATTGAACTAAAAATGTATAGCCTGTACAAATACTAGTAATTGTGAATATAATTGGGAATCATGTTAAATAAAATAAAAACGGTGCACATTTCATTTATCTATTATAACATTTACATAGTTTTGTTCACTTGGCTGTTTCCTTATAAAGGTCCAGAAATTTGTCAAGTTTTTCATCAGGTGTCTTATTTAATTATATGACGTCATTACATTGCAGTCTTGCCACCAGCCACTCGCTGCATTGCGGTTTCGAGTATCGATACATCTGCCCTTTACAGGGAACACGAGAGTGCGTGCGTCTATTAATCATTTAGAGTCTAATATCATCCCATAATCTGGCATCCTTCAAGTCATCTCAGATTTATTAAGCGAATTATGAAGAACTGGTCCCTGCAGTCTTTATTCCCTATATGTTCGTTAACACTAACTTTGAGATTACGGTTTATCTTTTCAAATTAAAAAGATTAATTCGAATGTGTTTGCGTGGTCTCTAGGACGGGAAGTTGGAATGCTCTGGTTGACAGTTAGTTATGCAACAATTGGGGGCTCGTCTGTTCTTTTTGCTTGAGACATTTGTTTTAATAACTTGGAGATGTGTCTCTTGTTAGTGAATCCTGTACGAAGTTTGCTGCTGAACACCATTTCAATTTGTTGGCAAGTACTCCTTTCTCTAAGAGTTTGTTTGGAAGTCTTTGAAATCTTGTGGGAGGGGCAAAGGCATTAATTGTAAGAGTATGGATTTTGACTTGATAGAATTCACTCTTAATCATACTACAGAAGTTTGTGATTGCTAATGGTACAAAGTATTTTGTAGATTTAATTTAAAAACTATTAAGTTTACTTTAACTGTAGAAGCTGCTAAATATATTCAGTCAACAGACTTGCTGCTGCAGTAGTTACTCTGAATTTAATCTAAATCGTTTAATGCACAGCTCTTTAAATTTCTCATCGGCTTGTCAGATGTTGTGTTCCATCCTTTGCGTAAGTCACAATCACAGCATTGACTCGTAATTTACACTACTGTTTGTAATTCCTGAAACATTATACTGTGCAGGCTTACTAGTAAAAGTTCTAAAGTAAAATTTTAAAATTGTACTTCTTAAAAATGGATGACGTGTACAGAGGAGAAACTGACTGCAGCCCATAAGGCAGATGCATCAGTCCCTCCGGTCTTCTCATGGAGGTTCTTCAGATGGTCAGAAGTATAAAGACTTTGCAAAAGGTGCAGAACACCGCTGCAGCAAAAAAAAATAAAAAAAACCCACCGTCATTCCTAGTCCCCATGACCAAGGTTTAAACTGGGCCGGGGCTGCCCGAGGCTCATTTACATTTTAGGCGGAACAGCGCACCTCACAGCAACCAGCCATTTCAGTGCTGATTGATTCCGTGTTTTGAACTAATCCGCTGAGGAAAGTTTCATTAGCCCCATGCATGAACAGATGAATCCTCCATTTGAATGACTCACTCATTAAACACTCACTACTGGCACGTGAATTTATATACAGTGGGTACGGAAAGTATTCAGACCCCCTTAAATTTTTCACTCTTCCCATTTCAATAACCACTTCCCCCACCTTTAACACTTCCCAGACCATGACCACTTTCCCGACTACTTCCCCAGCCACTTCCCCGACCTTGACCACTTCCCTGACTACTCCCCCAGCCACTTCCCCGACCTTGACCACTTCCCTGACTACTTCCCCAGCCACTTCCCCAACCAGGACCACTTGCCCAACCACTCCCTTGACCGTCACCACTTCCCTGACTACTTTCTTGACCACTTCCCTGACTACTTCCCCAGCCACTTCCCCAACCAGGACCACTTGCCCAACCACTCCCTTGACCGTCACCACTTCCCTGACTACTTTCTTGACCACTTCCCTGACTACTTCCCCAGCCACTTCCCCAACCAGGACCACTTGCCCAACCACTCCCTTGACCGTCACCACTTCCCTGACTACTTTCTTGACCACTTCCCTGACTACTTCCCCAGCCACTTCCCCAACCAGGACCACTTGCCCAACCACTTCCTTGACCGTCACCACTTCCCCGACCATGACCATGACCACTTGCCCAACCACTTCCTTGACCGTCACCACTTCCCCGACCATGACCACTTGCCCAACCATGACCACTTCCATGACCTCTACCCTGACCATGTGGTTCACTGCATGCATGGCCACAGGTGGTTAGGCAACATTTCTGTGTGGCATGACACTGGCCATCATGGAAACAGCTTTCAGCACATGCTTGAATCTTCTTCGGCTTGGGACAGTGACCCGGCTTCACTGCATGGACACAGATAAACAGTTTTAGTCCATGCATGACTGTATGCCACTTCAATATACAGCACGAAACACTCAAAGCAGAAATAGCAAGTTTTACCTACAGAGCGAATTATATTCCAAGCATTATTCCTCTATTTTTGTAAAACCATCCTGGGTTTAAAACTGTCCTAAGGGACGAATTCAAACCATAGATTGTGAAGGGAGAAAATAAAATCCACACACTGGACATAATGTCCGTGATTTCACTCGTAGTTTCCTGAAGAACATTTGAAGCCTAAAGTAGGCTTTTGGCAGCACGTCACTCCCAGATAATCGAAAATGGGCAAAAAGGTCAGATGTGGGTGAAGCGGAGGTGCCTGGGTGCTGAAACCACACCCATCTACAGTGACAGCAGTACAAAGACAAAACGCCATAAATTTGGTTTCGGTCGAAAAGGAGTTATTGATAATTTTGGGACACATAGGACCTCCTTTATCATGTGTACAAGTATCTTGGAGAAAAGCCCCGGAGAAACCAAAGCAGAACACAGTATCATCGGTTACCACTCTTTGACTTGGTTTTAGGTCGCTCAAGTTACGGTGTTCTGCATTGGTTTAGCCGTTTGTCAAGATTATGGTGCAGGTCTGGAGTTAACAGTTATTCTGCCTTGGTTTTACGGTCCATTAAAGTCTGCCGCATATAAATTACAGTGTGACTGGTGTACGTTCATACATCTGTTGGCACTTCTTCAGACAAATTAGATCACAATCTAACAAACTGCTCCATATAACAAAGAACAGTAAACAAGCAACGACTAGATACCTGGCCAATAACTCACCGTAAACCTTTAAAAAAAAAAATATATATATATACCTCCTCTTTTTATATTACAGATGCCAGCGGTCAGTCTGGGGCTGCCCACTTTAGCACATGCGGTGTGGAGTCGAATGCCACGACAACGCATCACATAAAATCAGTAACTTTTCACAATTAAACCCCATTTACTAACTTTTCTTGTAACTCAAATCCATTGCAATGAACGTCATCGGAAAGGTTTAGTTCCCAATCATCGAGCATCATTCCTGCTGGCGGTCACAATCCACAAGTTGTTCTTATAGGTTAAGCCATTTTCATTCAGTTCAATGTTTAAAAATAATAAATAAATATATAGGCCAAGTATGTCTTGCATCCTTTAATGTTAACGAACATTGCAAATAAATCAGTTGCAAAACAGTATCTAGTCACATTTAACTTTGTCTGGTTGTTACGGTCAGAAAATTAAATGGATTTGAAACCACATTACAGCCTAGCCGATGATAACTAGATTTTATACAGATGTTCCTATAATGATTCAGCACCCAAATATTGTATATAAATGTTACTGCCTTGGCGTGACATCACTTTTCGCAGACAGTGCAAAGGAACTTGCTTTTTTTTTTAAATTGAAAACTCAGTCTCTTGTAAATCAAGTAATGCATGACTTAATCAGATTACTTTTTTCCAAGTAACTACTAATGTAACTTGTAATGCATTACCCCCAACACTGATAATTTAAACAAATTTCCCCCCCCCCCCCCTCACAGTTGTCATGAAGGGCAAAATTAGCTATATAGACCAAAAACACTTTGTACCAGGCTGTAAAGTTGGGCATTTTAACATGGCAGGTCTACGGGACGGACTCCCTTTTGGAACCATGAACTGCAGGTTTAAAGCACTTCCATATTGGTTTCAAGCGAGAGACCATGATGTTGGCGCTTTATTCAAACCTACTTCTGACTAGAACAACAAAAGGCAACAATTTTTTTAATTCATAATCTAAACCTAAATACCTTTATATGGAACTTAAAAAATATTTATATCCAAACTTTTGTATAACCCCAAAAATTGTGTTTTTTGGTTACTCCATGAATTTAGATCTTTCTCAGTGTAAATTTATTATTAATCTATTGCTATATCTTGCTAAATTTTACATTCATAAGTGTAAATTTTCAAAGAAAACTCCCTACTTTTTTATTTTCAGGAAAGATTTTGATGTATATGTAAACTCTTTAAGAAACTCTAATAATTCTATTGCATGTGAGACTCTTTCATGGTGTAAATCTTATAAGCTAAAATAGTATGCTTTGGAGTATTGTTTGTAACCCTTATTGTCTTTTGTTCTTACTTGTCTTTGTAATTGTATTTGTTGTTCTTCTATTGCATAATAAAAAAATAAAAATACAGTCTATGGTTACAACGCAGTTAAAACATATTTTCCTTATTCACTTGTTAATAAAAGTTCAAAGTTTAATAAAAAAAAAAAAGTTAATCTAGCTATCTGTAAATGTTTTGATGTTGATGAAATCTGCTCATGTTGTGGTCTTGTTGAAGAAACAGCTGCCCTTTTATTGTGATTGTAGTATAACCAATACATTTTGGGTTGATTTGAGTTTTTACATTTTTGCTCTACTAATATGACACAGTTTTATCCTTAAAGATATATTTTATTATAAAAACCCAAATTGTTGTTTTTTGAATATTGTATATGTAAACTCTTTAAGAAACTCTAATAATTCTATTGCATGTGAGACTCTTTCATGGTGTAAATCTTATAAGCTAAAATAGTATGCTTTGGAGTATTGTTTGTAACCCTTATTGTCTTTTGTTCTTACTTGTCTTTGTAATTGTATTTGTTGTTCTTCTATTGCATAATAAAAAAATAAAAATACAGTCTATGGTTACAACGCAGTTAAAACATATTTTCCTTATTCACTTGTTAATAAAAGTTCAAAGTTTAATAAAAAAAAAAAAGTTAATCTAGCTATCTGTAAATGTTTTGATGTTGATGAAATCTGCTCATGTTGTGGTCTTGTTGAAGAAACAGCTGCCCTTTTATTGTGATTGTAGTATAACCAATACATTTTGGGTTGATTTGAGTTTTTACATTTTTGCTCTACTAATATGACCCCCAGTTTTATCCTTAAAGATATTATATTTTATTATGAAAACCCCAAATTGTTGTTTTTTGAATATGTTGATTTTTTTTATGTGCACATTTATTTTCATCCACAAGCAAAACTGGCTTATAAATAGCAACAACAACAAATGCAATTTTTCCGATGCATTATGATTATGTAAACATTATGATTATTCAAAGATATTTACCCTTGTAATGGTGCCTTTTTTTCCTGTGTATATGTTCTCATACTATGATGCACGCAAACCCATTATAATTATGTTTCTATTATGAGTGTTGTTTGTTAAAGATACAATCATCTTTCCCTGAGCTTGTGTGTAATTTATGAATTCTGCAGTAATAAAGAAGATAAGAGGGACAGGTGCAGTTACACCTCATAGGATCAGTAACTCCACAACCCTACCTATGTTTTTCCTCAGCATTTGCAATGTCAGCACAAAGACAACGTCTCTGTTACGGGGCGACAGAGACGTGCGGATCCATCTGCATGCTTTTATTTAAGAGACGTGGTCATAACAGGCATGGGTCAAACAATGGCAAACAGGTACAACACAGGTAAAACAAAGAGCAATCCAATCCAATTCGCTCTGTAACGTAGCTATCACTGACTAGCGATATGTGCATACAATACTCGGCGATCTGAATGAGGACATCCAAGGCTTATAAAGTGTGTCTGATTGGATTCAGCTGTGTGTGTGTTATCAGTGCATTCAGCTGTGTGTGTGTAATCAGTGCAGTGGATGATGGGAACTGTAGTCCGGAGTGACATGTAACAGTCTGTGTGGTGTGAGAGTCAATGTAGTGAGCGCGTGACCTCTGGTGGTGAGTGAACGGAAGTTCATAGACTGGATTTGTGACATAGCCCCCCCCAAGGAGCGGCTTCCAGAAGGGTACCCAGGCTGAACCGGCGAAGCAGGAAACCAGGACAGAGCAGAGAACCAGGGTGGAGCCGGCAGAGCAGGTGGAGCTTACTTCACTTGACTCATGACGATCAGTTGTGACTTCACTTGACTCATGACGATCAGTTGTGACTTGACTCGACTCATGACGATCAGTTGTGACTTGACTCGACTCATGACGATCAGTTGTGACTTGACTCGACTCATGACGATCAGTTGTGACTTGACTC